TCTACCTCTTTCTGTCCTTCACCTCCCTTTTTCTTTCTCCCCTTCCTTCCTTCTCTACCAACACTTTCTCTTTACTTTATTTTCCAGATCACCACACTGGGCCACAGCAACGCGTGGCAGGGGAATATATATTCCTATATAGATATTCTATATATATTCCAACGCACCAGCATTTGCAAGGCTTGCTCAACAGGCCGATTTTCCTTTTTCCTGAGACCCCTACTTCGGACTTCTGAAAAGTAATCCTCTTTCAATGGGCAGGATCCTAAATTGAAAACTCCAATGGGATTTTCACTGGCGCTGTTCTCCTATAAATCAACTGGACGTTTTTTTGGCTGGATCATGTCCTTTCATGAGCTCCCGGTGGCGCAGTGGTTTAAACCCTTGTGCAGGACTGATGACCGACAGGTCGGAGGCTCGAATCCGGGGAGAGCGGGTTGAGCTCCCTCTGTCAACTCCAGCTCCCTATGCGGAGACATGAGAGAAGCCTCCCACAAGGATGGTAAAACACCCAAAACATCCGGGCGTCCCCTGGGCAAGGTCCTTGCAGACGGCCAATTCTCTCACACCAGAAGCGACTTGCAGTTTCTTAAGTCGCTTCTGACACACACACAAAAATGTCCTTTCACATCAAAGCTTGGTACATACCTTTTATTGTCGTAGAGACCACTTATTTTGTTTAAAGGGGACTGGCTTTCCCAATCCAGAGAGATTGGAGAGCGGGGGGGGGGGGGGACCTCAACGTTTCCAAATATACCGTGAGAATAGGCGAAGGTATTTCCAAAAATAAAATTCTCGGGGAGCCTTTGCTGCTTCACCCCTGATCCATGGCAAGAAAATAATAGCCCTCAAAATGGGAAATGGAAAGATGAGCAGGCAGCGTTTGAGAAAATTTTGGAGGAAAGCCCATTCCCTGACTCCCTTTCCATCCCTCTTCACATGCCCTGCCTCCATCTTTGGATGCTTAGACTGATACTCTTAGGGTCACAACCTTCCTTACATTTTCCAGCCGCCTGCCTGGAATTTTCCTTTGTTCATGGAACTCAATAGGATTTACTTCTGAGTTGCCAGAAGTCTCGGCTTTGCTCTGTCGAGGCAGATTCCAGGAGGAAGTTCCCTCTAATTGGAGGAAGCTCTGCAGGAACTTCACCCAGAATATTAAACATCTCCTTTAGGGTTTAGACCTCATTACCTCTGAGGATGCTTGCCACAGATGCAGGCGAAACGTCAGGAGAGAGTACTTCTAGAACATGGTAATATAGCCCGAAAAACCTACAACCACCCAGTGATTCCGGCCATGAAAGCCTTCGACAATACATCCCTTTTAGGATTTGCAGCTGAGACCATCAAAAGGGAGGAGAGATCGCTTGGAAGCGTTCCTGACCCCCAAATCAGGGTGGGAGCCCCAGATTTTCCTCCTTAACAAATGCCCAGGCCCTCTGTTTTAAAACTCAGCCAGTTTTCCCCCTAGTGTCAGGAGCGACTTGAAAAACTGGTGTGAGAGAATTGGCGGTCTGCAAGGACGTTACCCAGAGGATGTTTTGATGTTTTATCATCCTTGGGGGATGTATCATTTAGTTATATTTTCTCCGCATAGGGTTTAGAAGCGGGGTGAGCTCCTGTCTGTCAGCTCCAGCCTCCCATAGGACGGTAAAACATCCATCCCCTGGGCAATGTCCTTGTAGACGGCCAATTGCCGGCCTCTTCCCTCTCTAAGAGGGAATTCTGCCTGCTGCTTTTATCTCGGTTCCTGGGCTCTCCTTTGAAGTCCCAATTTCCCCTTGATTTGCATGAATCCCACAGACTTCATTGACTTGAAGTGGTCGCCATCCGATGTGGTTATCCAGGCTTTATTTTATTCAATTGGTTTCCAATCCAGGCTTTTGGAAAGTGACCCACGAATCGCGAAAAAAGCTTCGCTTGATCTCAAAACAAAACGAGAATGGCGAAACCAAGACTGGCGTGTCTTCTTCGGACCAATTTATCCACATAATCGATAGTGAAGCCCAGCCTTAGACACGACGCATTAGGAAGGGGCGACCCGTTGTGTTATTTTTTTTTTGAAACAACAAGCAATCAATAACTGAAAACGAAGAGAACACCAACCCCAAAGCCACCGAAGGACGAGTCCCGTGTTGACAAAAGCCAAATCCAAGGACGCAGTCGAGTTCAAAGAAGTGAGCCCTCCACCTTTCCTATTTCTTCTTCTGAGGGAGAGACTGGATGCCAATGAAAAAGATCATTCCTTTTACATTTTTTCCCTTTGCTGTCTTAGTTTTTAGGCCGGTTCTTGGGCTTATTTGGGGGGCCGATTCAGAAAATTGCATCAGCTTTAGATTCTTTGAGATAGCTATCGTTTTCTATGAGCAATGGAAAACCTTCTTTATTTCTGCTGATGGGGGGATACCGGTGCCATTTTTTTGGCAAATATACCCAGAAACAGGGTATTTTTTTTCCCTCCCCTCTGGTTCAATGGGCAGAAGCAGCCTAAGCTTTCTCTTGCCCAGCCAACTTTCCATTTCTTCCTCTAGTTGTTGAAGAGCTCGCCCAGGAATAACACTTCTTTTCAAAACAAACATGGACGTTACATTGACACGAGTGGTCCCCCCTCTCCAAGAAGGCTCCTTCAGAAAGCATCCCTTGAAAAGGGGAGCTGGTCAGGAGAAGTTCCTGAGCCCTTGGGAGCCTTTCATGAGGAGTCAGTCCCCATAAGGTAATATGAGATGTGGAGCAAGACTGAGTCCATCTCTCCAGTTTCCCTTTCACTTGACTGTGATCATTCGCCAGTTCCTCTAAGATGTTGCAGATATATAACCAGGAACAAACAAACAAAAAAAAAATCAAATTTTGTTACATAGTGTTATTTACAAAAAGGAAGGCGGGGAGATGCAGTAGAAGCAAAGTTGCATGATTGGCATCCTTCTAATGCTATAAGGATGTTTTGATGGAAGGAATATATATACACACACACCCCTAACATTACGGTGTCCACTTGGGAAATGTATATATAGATACACCCACGCACACACATATACATATATACACACATACATTGGAGATATATATATCTCCAAATAATATTTTTTCTCTTTTCTCCCTCCATCAAAACATCCTTATAGCATTAGGAGATATATATCTATATATCTATGAATGGAAGGAGGATACACACACACACACACATATGATGTAAGGAGTGTGTGTGTGTGTGTATATATATATATAAATATTACGTGTCCATTTGATATATATATATCCAAATAATATTTTGTCTCTCTTCCCCTTCCATCAAAACATCCTTATACCATTAGAAGGAGGAGATATATATATATATATATATATATATATATATATATATATATATATGGAAGGAAGGAAGGTGTGTGTGTGTATATATAAATTATGGTGTCCATTTGGATATGTATATATATACACACACACACATACACATATATATGGAAGGAAGGAGTGTGTGTGTGTATATGTGTGTATATATATATATATATAAATTATGGTGTCCATTTGGATATGTATAGACACACACACACACACACACACATATATATATATACACGTATACACACAATATATATATATATATATATATATATGGAAGGAAGGAGTGTGTGTGTATATATATATATATATAAATTATGGTGTCCATTTGGATATGTATAGACACACACACACACACACACACATATATATATATAATCTCCAAATAATATTTTTCTCTCTTCCTCTTCCATCAAAACAACCTTATAGTATTAATGGATATATGGAAAGAGGATATAAAATTGCGGTGTCAGTGTGTGTATATACACATGTATATATATGTATATATATGTATACATATACACACATGTATATGTATACGTATACATACATATATACACACAAATAATATTTTTCTCTCTTCCCCTTCCATCAAAACATCCTTATAGCATTAGATGGATGCCAATCATGCATTTTTGCCTCTACCGCATCTCCCCCTCCTTCCTTTGTGTAAATTACACTATGTAACAAAATTTGAATTTTTGTTGTTCATTCCTGGTTTGAAAGTGTTATTTCCTGTTTACTTTGAAAGCTGTTGGTCTCCTCCTGCCACAAACTCTGTTGAACTGGTTGAGACTCTCATCGAAAAACTTGAGCAAAATATGCTGCGGGATGTCCTGCAATTCTCAGAAACTCTCATCTATTCTCCTCAAAAATCAGCTTCAGGAACAACCAGTTACCTTTCACATTTTAAGCATGGACTTTATTGTGGGGGAATCCAGTTAATGCCTGGGTGGAGATCGACGCAGGACCAGTTAATAAATCCCTAGCATTTCTTGGGATTCCTGGCTCAAAGAGGAAAGCAACCCAGCATCCCCAGGCTGACAGAAAGTTAGGACACAACAGAAACTGAAAGCGGCTTGGGTGGGACAGCACACAACTTTCCCCTAGTTTTTAGAACAGAATTAGGAAATGGCATTTATAACTCAGGAACAGAAAAGAGTGATACATAGTGTAATTGGGGATACAGGTTGCCCATCGACCCACCCCGGAGTTGCAACTCAGCCCGCTCTGTCTCCAACAAGGACGAGATTGCACTTGAGAGACTGCCTCCCTCACGAGTATTATTAGTATATTTGTAGCTCTGGCTCCAGAAGTGAAGCCCGCACAAACCGATCTGCGAGTTTCTGTCCCGAGTCACGCGTGGAGAGGTTGCCTTTCCCCTTCGGCTCCTTCCTTTCCGCTTCTTTCCTGAGCAGAAGGCAACCTCCCGTCGGAGCGTCTCCCCTTCGCGCCTCCAACTTGGGCTCGGCGCCTGGAGGCGGCCAAAAAGGGAGGCTCCGAAAGCGGCGTCAAGGGTCCAGTTTGGGGGCAGAAGGAGCAGAAGAAGGGGTTTGGGGGAGACAGAAGGAGCCGCGGGGAAAGACTTGGAGGGGAGGCGAGGGAGGGAGGGAGGGGGCAATCGCTTCCTCCTTCTAAAACTCCGAGGGGCCTGATGGTGCTTGTTGTTACCAAGTCCGGCCATAGAGCAAGCTGGCGTTGACCATGCCCCCGTTGTAGTCGGCGGAGGCGGCGGCGTCCATCTGGGCCAGGGCGCCCACTTGGCTGTGGAGGGAAGGCGGGCTCGGAGCCAGCTCCTCCAAGTCCGGCCCTTGGCCCAAGCCCGTCCCTGCCGCCGCCGAGGGGTGCGAGTGCTGCTGCTGCTGCTGCCCAGAGCTGCCGCCTCCTCCTCCTCCTGCTCCTCCTCCTCCGGCCCCGCTGCTCTGGCCTGCGCTGCCGCTCCCGTTGGCGCCGTGCGGGCAGGGCTTGCCGTCCTTGACCAAGACGGGCACGGCCACGCGGCGCGGGGATTGGGGCGCCTGCTGCTGCGTCGACGGCGCCTGCTGATTCTGCTGCTGATTCTGCTGCTGCTGCGGACACAGGGCCGGCCCCTCCGCTTGCGGCTGCTGTTGCTGCTGCTGCTGCTGGAGTTGCTGGGCCGCCTTGTCCTTGGCCTGGCGCTTCATCTTGTAGCGGTGGTTCTGGAACCAGATCTTGACCTGGGTGGGCGTGAGGTGGATGAGGCTGGCCAGGTGCTCCCGCTCCGGCGCCGAGAGGTACTTCTGCTGCTTGAAGCGCCGCTCCAGCTCGTAGACCTGCGCCTGCGAGAACAGCACCCGGCGCTTCCGGCGCGGCGCCGCGTGGAGGCCCGGGCCCAGGCACTTGGCCGCCTCCGCCATGCCCGACAGGGCGCCCATGCCCGACATGTTCATGCCCCCCGAAGGGCCCATCAGCCTGGAAACTGGGGCAAGGGGGACGGGGAGGAGGAGGGAATAGGCCACACGTCAGAGAGGGACTCAGAGGGGCGCGCATCAGGGGGCAAGGGTTGGGGGGGGGGGGACAAAGAGGCACATCATCATCATCATCACCATCACCAACATCCTCACCACCACCATCAACATCAGGGGCAGCACCACCACCACCTCCATCACTATCCTCACCACAACTATCGTTACCACCACCACCACCACCATCATCATGGGAGGAGGATTTGGGAGGGGGAAGCAATTATCACCTTCATCATCACCATCATCATCCCCACCACCACCACCACCATCATGACCATCACTATCAATACCTGCATCACCATCACCACCATCGTTACCATTACCATCATGACCATCCCCACCACCACTCTCATCTCATCACCACCTTCATCACTACGGCTACCACCACCACCACCATTACTATCAACACTTGCATCACCACCATCAGCATTACCATAATGACCATCACCACCATCACTATCAACACCTTCATCATCGCCACCACCATCACCACAATCATCATCACCATCACCATCACCATCACGACCATCACCTTTATCAGCACCACTACCATCAATACCTTCATCACCACCACAATCACCATCAACTTCATCACCACCACTATTAACTCCTTCACCATCATCATCACCACCATCACCATCAAGACAATCATCATCACCATCATGACCATCACCTTCATTACCACCACTATCAGCAGATTCATCATCACCACCACAATCACCATCACCATCGCTATCATAACCATCACCTACCTCACCACCACCACCACCGCTATCAACACTTCCATCACCACCACCATCACGACCATCACCTTCATCACTACCACCATCAACACCATCACTATCGTGACCATCACCTTCATCACCGCCACCGCCACTATCAACACCTTCATCATCACCACCTCCATCAACACTACCACCACCTCCATCATCATCATCATCATCATCATCATCTATACTCCTATCATCATCACTACCACGACTATTCAGTGTAAGCAGCTGCCCCCCCCCCCAACCCCTCCTCCCGGGCGCTTCTCCAAACTCCGCGCTTCTCCCGCGAAGGGAAGGAGCCCCGTCGGGGCGCCCCTGGGCCCCGCACACCCCGCGCTCCTGGCCCCGCACTTACTGGTGGGGTAGCGGGGGTCGGCGTTGGCCCCGTACCACCCGGAGGCGGCCCCGCTGCCGCGCACGCTGTCCGGGTAGGGCGCCAGCTCGGCCACGTTGCCCAGCCCGCCGTTGCAGTATCCGGCCACGGAGCTGTGGGCGAACTGCGAGACCCCAGCGTGGGCCATGGGGTGGTAGGCGGCGGCGGCGGGGTTGTGCGCGGCGGCCATGGGGTGCTGGTGCTGGTGCTGCTGCGGTTGCGGGGGGACGGGAGGCGGGGGCTGCCGGTAGGACGAGGAGGCCAGGGGCCCGCCCAGGCCGCCCTCCATGGCGCCGAACTTCTTGTAGCTCTCCTCCATGGGGCTCAGGATGTCGGAGACGGAGAAGGGCGTCGTGTGCTTGGGGCTGAGCGACATGGCGCGCCGGGCGGGCGGGCCCTGGGCTCCCTCCGCACTCGCTCCACGCGGAAAGGGGCACCGGCGGGAAACCAGGAGGAGGAGGAAGAGGAGGAGGAGGAGGAAGAGGCGGAGGCGCGCCAGCCCTCCCTCCGCTCCCTCTCTCTTTCTCTCTCTCTCTTTGAGTCCGGCAGCGCCAGGTTTGCGCCAGACCCCGGCGAGGGGCGGAGCTACCACAAATGCCCCCTTGGGCAGCCACGGCGGGGAAAAGGGGGAGGGCTTCCCTGGGACCCCGCCAATTAGAGGCGCGCCTGCTTCCTCCCTAGGCCCCCTCCCTCCTGGAAATAGGGAGGAGGGGGAAAAGTGTCCACCTGGAGACCCCCCTCTTGCTTCCCAGGGGCCTGCGACCTCTCAGAATCCTTCCCTTGCCCCCTCCCTCAGAGTCTTCTCTCCCCACGAAGGAGAACTATGCCTTTCCTTGACCCAAAGGTCGGGAAAGGAGGGGGAGGGGTCTCAAGGGAAGCCTTTGGAGCGACGTCCGAAAAAAGCGCGCCAAAAAGTCCCCTGAAAGGTTGGGGGGGGGGGGGAGGAGCCCCGCACTATATCTCCGTGTGTTTGTGAGGGAAGTGAGGGGCGAATTGGAAGCGGGATGAGATACTCTCCAAAAGGTCAGAGGGAGGCAGTTTGAACCAGGAAGAGCAGCACTTTTGGGGGGAGACGTCCCAAAGCTGAGAGGAGGGAAAAGAGAGGAAGAGAGAGGGGAGGGGGCGCGCGGAGAGGAAGAGCCAAGGCGCGTGAGGGCACGAAAGGAGGAAGGAGTTCGGCTCGTCGCGGGAAGCGCGTGGCCCTTTGAGTGGGGAAACCTTGAAGGGAGGCAGCCAAGGCCTGAGGACGGTCTCTCTCTCTTGCCAAGTTTGGGCTTCCTTTCTCTACCAGACTCGGATTCTCTGAGGGCCAAACTTGGGCTTCCAAAGCTCGCGAGGAAGAAGCCCCGAGGGCGCCTCGCCTTTGTCCTTTGCTTCGTGGGTTTCACACCCCGTCGGCCAACATCAGCCCCTTTTCTGAACAGGACGACGGACGCAAGAATACCAGAATCGCTTCCCAAGCCAGGGAGGAATCCACCTCACTCAAACACGCGGGGAGACCTCACAAGTTCTGCCATAGATGTGGGCGAAAAGTCAGGAGAGAATGCTTCTCTGGGAAATAGCCAGACAGCTCGGAAAACTCCCAGCAACCCAGTGATTCCGGACATTTGGAGCGACTTGAGAAACTGCAAGTCGCGTCTGGTGTGAGAGAATTAGCCGTCTGCAAGGAGGTTGTCCAGGGGATGTTTTGATGTTCTCTCAACCTTGTGGGAGGCTTCTCTCATGTTCCAGCTAGAGCTGACAGAGGGAGCTCATCCGCGCTCTCCCTATATTCGAACCTGCGACCTTTAGGTCTCCAGTCCCGCCAGGACAAGGGTTGAACCCACTGCGGCACCGGGGGCTCCGGCCACGGATGCCTTGGACAACCCACGCGGGGAGAGTCAGCCAAGAATCCAGTGAAACGCGCCCCACAGACCCGCGCTTTCGTGGGGACAGGACTGCGCGGAGGGAAGACATGTTTTTAAAAACCTTAAGTCTATATAAAAAAAGAAAACATGGTTATAGACGGGACTGATGGGTGCTAAGTGGTTCTGGGCAGAGGAAGAAGAGTGCTAGACCTATCACTCATGCACACACAGGCAATACTTATTTGCACTTTTCCCGAATTAGGAGTCTTTTCATGTTGATCTTGTCGCTCGTTTCGGCCTCTCCACGCGTGTTCTTGCCCGCCGTCGGAGGTCACGCTCCTGCTCTAAGAGAACGGTAAGAAAAGCCTCAGAACTTGGCCTGGGTTTGGCGGGATCCCCGAGAGACTGAGTTGAAACAAAGTGGTGGCGATAAGGGCCCAATTGTTACAGTGAGAAAACTAGGATCGTGTTTGAATCTCTCCCATGCAACTTATGCTGCCATACTAAGGGCCAGTCCTGTTGTTCTTGCTTCGATTTGGTTGAATCCTTGGGAGATTTCGGGATCAGGTTTGTGCGGACTGGACGGTGGAGAGAACCGCGGCGAGTGGGTCGTTTTTGGCCTTCAGAAAGAAAGTGAAATCCCACCCCAAAGCCTCTCCTGAGGATGTGGGGCGTACTGGGAGAATCCATTGCACGGATTTAAAGGGAGAGATACTCTCCTAGTCCTGCTTTCTGATTGCTTTTTGGGCCCCTTCTATACAGTTGAATAAATCCCATATTTTTGCATTGAACCGGGATATCTGGTAGTGTGGACTCAGCTAATCCAGTTCAAAGCTGGGTTCGTGTTGGTTTTTCGGGCTGTATGGCCATATTCTAGAAGCATTCTCTCCTGACATTTCGAGAAAAAGGATATCTGGCAGTGTGGACTCAGAACCCAACTCAAAGCTGGGTTGTTGTAGGCTTTTCGGGCTGTATGACCGTGTTCTAGGAGCATTCTCTCCTGACATTTCGCTTGCATCTGTGGCAGGCATCCTCGGAGGTTGTGAGGTGGCAGGCACCCTCAGAGGACCTCACAACCCCTGCCACAGATGCAGGCGAAACGTCAGGAGAGAATGCTTCTAGAACATGGCCATACAGCCCGAAAAACCTACAACAACCCAGTGATTCCGGCCATGAAATCCTTCGACAAGACTAAACTTAATGTCAAGGGGAAATTTTCTGAGGATGCCTGCCATAGATGCAGGCAAAACGTCAGGAGAGAATGCTTCTAGAACATGGCCATACAGCCTGAAAAACCTACAACAACCCAGTGATTCCGGCCATGAAAGCTTTCGACGGTTTAAAGCAGATATTGTGGGATTTCCTGCCTTGATATTCCGGGTTATATAGCCGTGTGGAAGGGCCCTTAGAGGCCTTGAGGCCCAGGATTCAGGGCCTTCCTTCCCTTCCGCAGAATACAAACCCTCCAATACGGTTATGTCTTCAAAGGTAAGTTCCAGCCGTTTAGTGGGTGGGAATCGAAGTTCCAAAATGTTTCAGGTCAGGGGAGAGAAAAGTTCAAAGCACCACCAATAACAACAACAGCAATAATAATACATTTTGCGAAAATAAGTCGCACTATTTTGGTCATTATTCGAATACGATCCTGAGTAAAGTCCTGCTGAAACTGATGAGAAGCGTCCAGGGAAACTTTTCGAAGGCTCGTGCCCGGTTTCTTCAGGCTCACTTTCTTGAGGAATTTCCAAGATTTGGTTTGCAGGGATGACTTGGGGTCCCTCGGCTATTTCAAATGATCTCCATCCCTGATCCATCTAGAGGTGAACATTTCCCCTTCCGACTAACACGTTACTTTTAAACCGATGCGTCTAGAAATCTCTCGACACTAAAATTTTGCGATTTATTGTCGAAGGCTTTCATGGCCGGAATCACTGGGTTGTTGTAGGTTTTTCGGGCTGTATGGCCATGTTCTAGAAGCATTCTCTTCTGACGTTTCGCCCAACTCTATGGCAGGCATCCTCAGAGGACGATTTGTTGGAAACTAGGCAAGTGGGGCATATATATCAGGCATGAAGCCCCTCGAGCCCCCCCCCCCCCCGAAATTCTCATGGTGGTTTGCGAAAAGGCCTTACTGGTGCATTATTTAAACTGTTATGCTTATTCATATCATGATCTGATCACCATGCTCAATATATCCCATATGCATGGGGGTATTGGGGTAACGATACAAAAGGTTGGCTGGGGTAGACCATCTTTCACTCAGACTCAGTCCCCCCCCCCAACCAAACTCAGCCCCCCCCCAATCGAAATCCTGGCTACGGGCCTGATATATATAATTTTAAATGTCCACCATGAAGTTCCACTTGCCCAGTTTAGTTCTCAGTATATAATTCTGGATTTGCAATTCAAGTTAAAAAATTCTAAGTGGATATTTCCTTTAAAAATCGAATTTGGATCACTGGATTGCTGTGAGTTTTCCAGGCTGTATGGCCATGTTCCACAAGAATTCTCTCCTGCCAGCATTCTCTCCCTACGTTTCGCCTGCATCTGTGGCATGCATCCTCACAACCTTTGAGGATGCTTGCCACAGATGTAGATGAAACGTCAGGAGAGAATGCTTCTAGAACATGGCTATACAGCCAGGAAAACCAACAACAACCCTGTTTGCGGTTATTTATCTCTAAGCTTACTAGTGACTTTCGCCTCCTCTTAATTTCTCCACGGAGGACCCTTCCACACAGCCATATAACCCAGAATATCTTCTTTGAACTGGGTTATCTGAGTCCACACTGCAGTATATTCCAGTTCAAAGCAAATAATATGAGGTTTTATTTAGCTGTGTAGAAGAGGCCTAAGAAGGAGGCGATCTGGAGGCCATGAAGTGATTATGGAGGAGGAAGCACACTTTGGGATTCACGACTATCTGAATTTTCTAAGGAAGAGTGATCAATATAACCAGCCAATTTTCTCACTGGGGATTCATCTGGAGGAAAATGAATTGGAGAGACATTGCTTTCCTGGTTTTCTCTCCCCGTCCCTTACAGCCAGATAATTTCTCAAGTGGACCATTGGCTGAAAAAATCAGTTGCTGTGCAGACTCCAACATGGAAAGGCCCAAGAAGCATAATTAGCTCCTCTTTCACTAATCCAAACACCATACAACTGGTGGGAAAAGTCCCAGAGCATAATAAGTCTTCTAGTTATATTTAAAAAAACAAAAACAGAACCAGGTTAAACATTCTAAAAATGCAATCTGTGTTGGAAATAGCCTCCTATACTAGTAATTTGTTTGCGTATTAATTCTGATTGCTTACTGTATTGTATTGCTAGGCAGTTTTCCTTAACTCTATGTTGTGGGAGGGGCTGCAGACCTTGTGACCGGATCTGGGACTATTCAGACAGATCTCAGACTCCATTTTTTAGAAATCAGTAGAAACAGACTCTATTAGACTCTCAGGCTAGAGAGATGCTTTAGACCAAGGGTTCTCAAACTTTTTAAACAGAGGGCCAAGGTCACAGTCCCTCAAACAGT